AAAACCTAACATATTCCATAATACTCTTGCAGACTTAGGAACCATTAGCTTGTTAATGTGAGTATGTTATGCTGGAGAAGTATGAGGAACCGGCATTCTCCTCTTTCGTGTACAACTGGAAGGAGTTAAGCTGCATAATGTCTCTGAAAGACAATTTGGCATTATGTTATGTGGCAAGATTAAAAGATACAAATATTCCTTGACCCAGCTATTCCACTTAGGGGAATTTACTCACACATTTACATGCAGAAAAAGTAAATACAAGGATAGTTACCGTATATAACAGCAAAAGACTTAGGTGTCTACTAATAGCAGATCAATTAAATATATGATACATTCATGAAATTAAATGCTATGTTGCCATTAAAAACACAGGCCGATCCCAGCACTTTGGGAGGCCGAGGTGGGTGGATCACGAGGTCAGGAGATCGAGACCATCCTGGCTAACATGGTGAAACCCTGTGTCTACTAAAAATACAAAAAATTAGCCGGGCGTGGTGGTGGGCGCCTGTGGTCCCAGCTACTCTGGAGGCTGAGGCAGGAGAATGGCATGAACCCGGGAGGCGGAGCTTGCAGTGAGCCGAGATCGTGCCACTGCACTCCAGCCTGGGCGACAGAGCGAGACTCCGTCTCAAAAAAAAGAGAGAAAGAAAACACAAAGGTAGGTCCTCTGAATGTGTTGATATGAATAATCTCTTAAGTTCTTTTTTTTAAGGCTGGCCAAGTAAAGCAGTGGGTAAGTTCTACAATTAAGTGAAAAAAGGAAGGTACTAAACAGTGTGTCCAGCATGATACTATTTGTCAAAAAATACACATATACACAGATATATATTTGGTTATATGAGGATATATATACAGTATATACACATATAGCTTTAAGAATTCACAAGTAGCTGATATTGGTAGTTGCTTTGGAAAAGGAAAAGGAGGGACTAGGGAAAGGGGTAGAAAGATCTATTTTTTCACTGTATACACTTAAATGCTGTTTGAAATGTTTGCCTTTTTAAAGAATTACTCATTCAAAAAAATTAAATGAAAACGATCGCAAGAATGAGTTACAAATAAAAATTATGACTGTGTGACCTTACAGACATACACACAAGCCTGAAATAGTATCCACCTACATCCTTATCCGTGTCCACTGGCTCTTTTTCCATATAAAGCTCTCTCAAGTTCAGGCATTTCCCTAGGGGGGCATTCTTCTTTTAATGATAAGTATTTTATTTTAACTTGAAGCACAATTGTTCATCAATTGCTCAAATCTAATTTCTTCCTATGGCAAACCAAGACTCATCCCTCCCTAAACACTGATGTCTCTTTCCTTTAATGTAGTTCCCCAATTAGAGGAATTTGCCTAGAATAGCTAGTTTTTCTTTACATACTTTTATATTATATTGTATTCTATATTACATGCTATATTGTATCATTACATATTATATAATATATATTACATTATATCATTATATATTATGTTAATATAGATTAACATAACATATGTTAACATAATATGTATTATATATTACATATATTTATACGCTAATCTATATTATAATATAGATATTATATAATTGTAATATCATTATACTAGTGTTCCTTACTGTATTCTTTTGAAAGAAGAAACTATTAGAGTCCATGAGCCTCCAAGGAGAACTGCCTCCACAATCACACTACGTATTCTGCATTTCTAGGTCCATGTAATACAAAATGAGATTAGCTATTGCTAGGGATTCCCAAAGGTCACCCAAATGGTTTGGTCCCAGAACAAACATTATTGAGGAAACACTGCCCCCTGGTGTTACTTAGAAAGTTTAAATGTTTTAAATGAAATAGATAAAATATGGGATGGGGCCAGGCTTGTAATCCCAACACCAAGGCAGGAGGATTGCTTGAGGTGAGGAATTTGAGACCACCCTGGTCAACACAGAGAGACCCCCATCTCTACAAAAAAAACTTTTAATTTTATTTTTTAATTTATTTTTAAAATTATATTTATTTGCAAGATGGAATATTTCACGAGAAATTCAATTAAAATAAACAAATGTGAGTATATGGTAAGCACTGTTGATAGGCCTTAGAAGTTAATAAATGAATAAGTAATTCTCTCAGCACTCAGTTCTAGTTTTACTGGGCTCCAAATCAAAAATAAACATCAGCAAACAGTTTCTCAAAAAGTCTTTCTATCCAGTCTTCCATTGATGCCAAAGCATCACATCCCCGGTGGGAGACTAAAGAAGAAAAAAATGATGTCCTCTTGTCTTCCGATCCCTCTGCTAACAAATCTATACTCTTAGGCTTCGCAAAGAAGACCCTGTCCCCTAAGTGCTACTGACTGAAACCCTGTCTGTTATTCCAGAAAACTAGTCTTTAACGTCCACTCTTCATTTCTAATAAAATCTCTTGGGAAACATAAAGCTATGAGTTAGTAGAGGATATTATCCCCCTACTCTCTAAAAATGAGGCTTTGGACCAGACTATTCTGGGATTCAAATTCCAGCTCATTTATTCATAAGCTGATGGCCTTGGACAAGTTACTTTCAATCTCAGTATCCTACTCTGAAAAACAGGGACAATAATACTTATCCTGAAGGACAGCTGCAAGGATTAAATGATGAGATCATGTTTAGAAAGGTACCTAACACTGGTACATATTCTACCCTGTTGCCAGAATATTCTTGATAAACCATGAATTGGATCATGTAAAATTCCTGTTTAAAGTTTTTCAGTGAATCCTGTTGCCTTTGAGATAAAATCCAAACTCATTAGAATCCTTCAAGATCTGGCCACTGCCTCCCTCATTTCTCATTCCTTCCTATCTACATAGCAGTCATGAAGTTCCCGAACTTGCCCCCCACTTACACATCCTTACACATCTCTACACCTCTCGCCTACAATGACTTTTCTATTTATTTTATCCTACTCATCTTCAAAACTCAGCTCAGTAACAGTCTCTTCAAAGAGGTCTTCTCCAATCCTCAACCATCCAGGGTCTACCTCAATCAAAGAACCTATCATACTTTATCATAATTTCCTGTTTGTCTTCTCACTAGATTATGAACTCCAGGAAGAGGCTATATTGTTTCAGGTCTGGATAACCAACAATTAGCCCATAGTAGATGCTTTTAAAATACTGAATAAATTGGCTGGGCACAGTGGCTCATGCCGGTAATCCCAGCACTCTGGGAGGCCAAGGCAGATGGATCACAAGGTCAGGAGATTGAGACCATCCTGTGAATGGTGAAACCCCATCTCTACTAAAAATACCCGCCCGGTGGCGGGTGCCTGTAGTCCCAGCTACTTGGGAGGCTGAGGCAGGAGAACGGCGTGAACCCGGGAAGAGGAAGCTTGCAGTGAGCCAAGATCACGCCACTGCACTCCAGCCTGGGCAACAGAGCGAGACTCTGTCTCAAAAAAAAAAAAAAAGCTGAATAAATTAATTAATGCAAAAAGACACTCAATACTCTGCTCCTTTTGCAAGGAAAGGATGTAACAGTCAAGAATCCTTTTTGTCTTCTGTATAGTCAAGGAAAGTTTTCTGATTGGAGAATTTCAAACAAAGTTTGCAAAAAAATAAAAGCACCTAAAGCTTCATCTCAAAGCAACTGGCATCCCTCCCCAAACCCCATATTCAAATTGCACTTACCAGGGAAGGACTAGCTAGGATGCAGTGGAAATTCCAATAGAAGGGGAGGCCAGAGAGCTCACTCCGCACCCGTAAAATCAGTGCATCTGCCACATGATCACAGGAGAAGGTAGCTTCGCTAGGGTGAGCAGCGTCCTTCAACAATGGGCGAAGCAGATTATCCAAATGACAGAGGAAAGCCGCAGGAGGAGCAGTGAGCCGCTTGTTCAGCTCCTAAAGAGACAGCAGTGGTACACAGTAAGGGTGCTAATAGGAAAATAATTCCCTCATAAGTAACAGCAAAGGAAAGCCCTGGTTAACATGAAGACAACGGACATGAGAGGAAGGGGACAGAAGATAAAAACATCACAACAGGAAAGAAGAAAACAAAAAGAAGACAGTCACAAAGATCAACTGGCCTACTTCAAAATTCTGCCTTGGGAAAAAAAAAAAGGTCTATCTAGATCAAATAATATATTCATTATCATGCATAGGGTAGAGAAACTAACTTTTTCTCTCTCTTTCTCTCTCTCTCTCACACACAAACACACACATGAAGATTCCAGGGCTACAGGCAGAAGTACAGGACATTAACTGGAATTGTCTCAACCCAATTCAACCTTCCTTGGGAATCTACAGGCCAGCAAGTTGGTTGATGTTCACATCCCCGACCTTCACTAGGAAAGAATGGTATCCCCCACCACCTCACAGCAGTACTTCTCTTCATACTTACCTTGGCTCGCTGGCTGACCACACTAGTGTCCACCTGTTCATGCCACACCTGTTGAAGATCTGAAACTAACAAGGCATAGCCCTGCTTGCTGATAAAAACCTTGGCCAAGAGGGAGTTCTCAGCAAGCTGTAGCCACGCCCACGGCTGCATCAACAGGCCTTGCTCCAGTTCTTCCATCTGCAAAAAAGTCCTCATTTAGTAAAGTGCCTCAGGGTCATGCTGGCCTAAGAAGGGTACCACCTAAACCACTCTGTATCAACTAAAATCTCATGAAAATCCTCCCTGATAAAACAGAAGGCATGGATTTACGTTCTCCCAGTATACACCCAGCTGATCACTGACTTTACTACCTTTGGCCACTAAAAGTATATTTAAAATCTTGAGGGGTTTTTTCCCCCATATTATGTTCCTAGAGGACAGAAAATCTTTCTTCCACAGTGTTTAAGCCTCAACATGTTGCTGTTAGTATTTCTGCTTTCTAATACTATAGCATAATGTGGAAACCTAAACCCTTCTTATTCCACCTTTATCACATTGCTAATAAATATGTCACTGCTATCCTTTCCCAGAACTAGAAGAGAAGGAATAGTTCTTGTCTTATAAAACATCATAAGTCATAGTGTCAGGGCCAGGAAATTCAAAGTGTTTGATCATTATCTAAAAACAGAGTTTAGGAAGCTCTCAGGATTTTTTTTTTAAATCCCTAAAACAGAGATTCTTAATCTAGAGTCAATGCATGTGAATCTTCTAGAATTGTAAGAAAATGTTATGCATACATGTATATATGCATGGGGAGGGGGAAAGAGGTCTACAGCTATCATCAAACTCTCAAAGGGATCCATGACACAAAAAAGAGCTAAGAACCTGTGTCCAGGAGCAACAGAAAAGACCTAAATTTCATTTCAACAAGAACCAGAATGACTAGGAAATCATGAATACAAGGCAGAGCACATCACAGAGGTAAAGACTGAATTAACTTTCATTTAACTCATCCTCCACATTCCCACTCCAGTGCACTGCCACCAATGACACCATGCCCAGCCTGGAACCCCTGCAAAACAACTTTTCTATCTCAGCAGCTAAAGTAGTAGGCTTAACCTAGTAGACAATCAGAACTATGGTTGCTTGACAGAGAATGTGATTGTTTTTCCTGTGAGGGAGAAAAAAAAGATGACAATTTCCTTCATTATTCCAGTCTACAAATACAAAATGAAGAGAAGCACCAGGAAGGAAAAATTTAGAATGTAAATAACGAAATTCCTTATTAAGTCTGATTAAGACAGTCATTTCCCCTAGTTTTTGAAGTGTGACCTTGTGACTTGTGACATAACATATATAGATATGCATACAGATACATATATATGGTGATCTATCTTTACGGCATCCTCAAAGCCTTGTGTTTGGAGGATGGTGTTTCCGTCACATTTCCCACATGCTGCTCTTATGGGGACAGAAGTGGTCATGGGATGATTAAGCTAGTCCTAGCTGGACAAGAGCTCCACATTGCCAAAGGTCACAAACGCAAATAAAGTCGCCAAACCCTTTCATCTCCCTTATAGGCACACCCCAGTGTACTCTAACAGTTGCCAAAATTGGATTTACTATTCTAGCCCATTCCTTCGGAAAGCCCGGAAGTTCAAATTGATGGGTTTTGTTTGTTTGTTGGGTAAAGGGGGAGGAGTTTAAAATGCGGCCAGCAGTAACCGACCCTATAAAAAGGCGGCCTTACACATTGGGCACCAGACCCCGGCTGCCTGCTCCCACCACACGCGTCCCGTTCTGCGTCCAAGGCCTCCACATTTCACCCTTTTCTTTTTTCCTTCAAGGCTGCCTTTAGCATTCACATTAACCAGATTTACGGGTTTATTTCTCTTGAGTGGAGGGGCGCTGAGGGGCATCCCGGCGGAGGGGTCCCTTGAGAACCTTTATCTGCATCGAGTTCCGCTCCTCAGCAATGACTCCTCTGGGCAGTTCCTCCGACGCCCTGCAGAGGGCAGTAGGGGCCCAGAGAGCATCCCGGCAGGGCCCCGCCCGGTCCCCGTGGGAGAACGCGAACCCTAGGTCCCATAATCAGAGCCCCACCCCAGGAGCCGCCGGGCGTCCCGCTTCCACCCGCCCCAGCTAGAAGAGCCTTCGCCATCCGCCTTCCCATTTCTACAGCACTGGCTGCACTGGGACGCGGCTCGGGATCCTTCAAGAGGCAACAAAGCCGGCCACCGGAGGCTTCGTCGCACCAAACAGGCGGCCAAGGAATACCCTCACTCGAGCCGCACCATCCACGCCGGGCCGCAGCCGGCGGACCGCGCACGCGCGGCCCCGCCTACCGCCCCCGGAGGCCTGCCCTGGTACCCGGCAGCGCGCGCTCCCTCCAAGGAGAAAATGCCCAAGCCAGGCCCAACCCGCAGCGTCTGAGCAGCCCTTCGCTGGCTTGCTTCTGCCCGGACTCGAGTGCGATTCCACCTACCGTCAGCGGCAGCGAGACCGCCCACCCTCCTCGCCGCACGCACGCTCTCTTGCCCGCTCGCGCAAACCGAAAGGCCTAGAGTAAGAGGCCGATTCCCCCCCACAAGAGGAGGCAGGGTCTTGGGACACAGGGGCGGGGCCTATGCCTGGCATGGGCGGGGCTTCTGGGCCTAGAACGCTGATGAGAGGAGCGCCGCAGTGGCAGGGTAACTGGAGGAGAGGCCGGGCGGCCAGCTAGTAGAGAGGCAGTGGCGCGTCTTGGAGTCACGCTGGCCGAGTAGAAGGAATAGCGGGCCAGGCGTAGGAAAGGGGAGCCCAGGTTTGGATTTGTCAAACTTGAGTCACTTCTCTTCCCTCCCCTACCTGTCCAGTCTCTTTTTAACAAAATAAGGCATGGAAGTTCCGTAGGTAAGTTCTCTCAGGTCCTCCACCAGCACTAGAGTTGTTGAAGGAAGGAGTCTCCCAGGCATAAGTCCCATAATCTGATCTCATCCTTTACCTCTCCTGCCTCATTTCTCCATCATCCCCGTACTTATGCTCCTCACTACTGAGAAATTTGAAACCCCTCAGCTATCTTGGACTTTGTACAACTCATGGCTTTGCTCAAGCTGGACCTCGAACCTGAAAAACCAAAAATCCTCCTCATTTGTCAACGCCATCCTCATTGCTTCTTGCATAAAGCCTTTCCCACTGTCCCCAATCAGAATTCATTATCCCTTCCTCTTTGCTCCCACAGCATTATTTTAATCTTTATTACAGACTGCTTTCTGCTTTGCATTTTCGTTAGTAATTACAAAGGTCTTTTTAAACCGTAAATGCCTTGAGAGGGCATGGACCCTGTCTTAACCCTGTAGTTCCAGGACCTTGCACATGGGAGATGCTCAATAAGTATTAAAGTGAATGCTGGGGTTCAAGTGGCGTTGATAGTACACAGGTAAAATCTCATTCATTCATGGTCCGCTAAATCATGGCCTCTGCTCTGGAATAGTTAGGCCTAATTAAGACAAGGAAAGGCAACCCACCCTACTGGGAAATGGAACCTCTAGGCGGGCCCATGTAATATACACACACATACCCTCTGCCTACGAGAAAGAACAGTTTGGGAGCTGATTCTCCAGCAGATGAGAGTTAGTGCTAAATTAACCAGAGCAGAAGTAAGCATACCGGTCATTTCTGGGACCTAAACCCTTCTCTGCTAGATTCAGGGCATGGCTCCCCTGAGCCAGGCAGCAAGTCTGCCATCTCTTCTGGCTCAGAGGAGCCTCCTTCCTCATCCCCAGGGTCTTCAGGCAGTGGGCAGAGGCAGCGGAGAGGCTGGGGGATGCAGGGACACAGATTTTGGATGGGGAAAGGAAGTCTGTACACTTGAGCAGCCTTCTCCCTGGGCTTCTGAGGCATTCGAGCCTCTTGCGCAGTGAAAACAGATGGTAGCCCTTGACCTAGGCCTCGCTCAAGCTGTGTGCCTGCAAAAGAGAGGTTTGTCAGGCCATTGCCCATCCCAGGGAGGGATGGCTTCCTGGCCACTCCCCAGTCTGCTGGGGCCTGGCCTCAACTTACCAGGAATCGTGTTCTCTAGTAGGAAGCCTGAGAGTCCCGCCAGGAAGATGGGCTGTGTCAGCAGTGAGTGCAGTAATACATCCAAGGGGCTCCAGCCTATGAAGGGTTGGGGCCAAGCAGGAAGGGAACTCTGATCCTATATCCAAGCCCAGGAGTCTTGCCCTCCCAGACCTAAACCTAAGTCTTGGACTAAGGACAGATCTTTCTGAATTGTCATTTCATCCCTCTCACCCTTTGTCTGTCTAACCACTTTCCAAATCCAGGCCTTTCTCACAGGATTCCTGCTCAACACCCTATGTTCTGATCATCCACACACCCTCCATATATGCTTTGACTATTCCAGGTTCCCTTTCTCTAGAAAGCTTAGTATTTAAGCCCCAACCTCATCTCCCAGTTTTTACCCTCTATGCTCTATCCTGGGTTTTTCAACCTCAGTCCTACTGACATCTTAGACCAGATAATTCTTGGTTGGGGGTGGTGGTACAGGGGGGATGTCCTGTACAGTGTAGGATGTTTAGCAGCATCTTTCTATGCACTAAACCCTAGTAACAACTCCCTCTTCCTCCATGTGTAACAGCCAAAAATGTCTCCAGACATTGCCAAATGTCCCCATGGGGGCAAAATCACCCAGTTGAGAAGTGGGTGGGACAAATTAAGCAATTTACTGCTCTCAGGACATATCCTAAGACTTCCCACTTCTGTGTCTTTGTATAAATGATGGTTCCTTCATGAGGAATGACCTTCTCACCAAAGATGTTTAAAACTTACCATCCTTCAAGATCAGCTCTGTTACTGGATCACCTCAAACAGAAGCTATCTCTCTTGCCACTGAGCACCATAGCTCTTTATCTGAACCTTTCTTATTATTTTCCTACACATCTCATCTCTTTTACTACGCTGTAATAAAGGGAGGCACCTTTGTATCCCAAATGGCTAGCATAGTGCTCAATAAATATCCATTAAACAAATGAATGAAGTATTTACACCAAAGCCCAGAGAAGGCTGTGGGGCCAGGAGCCGGGGGAGCCTGAGCCTCAACTCCTTGCTTTCCTGCTACTGAGCAACTCCCCTTCCCTTCCACCTACCTGTGCTGAATAGGACTGGGGCTTCCCGAAACCATCTTGGCAGCAGCAAGGCCATGAAGATAGAGAAGCCCACAATGAAGATATTTCGCCCAGAATCTATGTCAGCCAGGTAGAAGCTGGAGAATCCAGCAGACAAAACCACAGCCTGGGTCACCCCCAGCACCCCACCTGTCTCATACAGAAGAAATCAAGGGGGTCAGGAGGAATCAAGGGGGCTCACATAGTGTGGAGTATTGCAGGGCAAGCAGGTTGTAATGGGGAAAAAATAAAACCCAAGAGACTGATTTTTTTTATTATTATTATTTTTTAGAACAAGTCTCACTCTGTCACCCAGGCTGGAGTACAATGGTGCAATCTCGGCTCACTGCAACCTCCGCCTCCTACTCCTGGATTCAAGCGATTTCTCCTGCCTCAGCCTCCTGAGTAGCTTGGATTACAGGCATGAGCCAGCATGCCTGGCTAATTTTTGTATTTTTATTAGAGACAGGGTTTTGTCATGTTGACCAGGCTGATCTCGAACTCCTGACCTCAAGTGATCTGCCTGCCTGGGCCTCCCAAAGTGCTGGGATACAGGTGTGAGCCACCATGCCCGGTCTGAGGTTTTCTGATTCTTCAGGAAGCCCAGAAGCCCAATCAAGAGACTAAGATGTTAGGCGGAGAAATTGAGACTGACACATGCTCATATCCATCCATCCATCCATCCATCCATCCATCCATCCATCCATTCATCCAGGAAAGCTATTTAGAAAGAAAAGGTGCCATCCTAAAGAACTGATCGGGCCATACTGGGGAGTACCAGTTCAATACCAGCCCTGTTGATACATCCACTCACCAACCACAGGTAGCGGGATGGTGGTGAGGAGCTGAGCCAACCTTGGAGAGAGTCCAAGCCCCATGCAGAGTAGCCCCACTAAGTGAGCCACTTGCTGAGATCCAGCCTGCGTGAAGAAAAGACACTGGAAAACACAACCACTTCATCGGACTGTCCCAGGTCTTTGCCTTACTGGTTCCTTCTCATCATTTGGATCCCAGCTCAAATGTTACTCTTCCAAGAAGCCTCCCTGGCCAGTCTAAACGTGCCTCCTTTCCATCCCGCTATCCTGATTTTTTTATGTAACACTTATCGCCTTCTGAAATTTTCTTCACTTTTTTTAAAATTTTTTATTTTTTGAGATGGAGTCTTGCTCTGTTGCCCAGGCTGGAGTACAGTGGTGTGGTCTTGGCTCACAGCAACCTCTGCCTCCCA